AAAAAAAACTCACACTGATGCTTCGTGTCATGCCCATGTAAAGGGCACTCTTCGGCGCTTTAAGATTACCCTAAAAAAGTGAAGAAAAAAATGCAAGCAAATTAGGAGCGACGGAACTGTAGCCAGGCTTTATTGCCTGTTCAGATACGGATATAAGATCGATAAATGATGACCTACTAAGAGCAACGACTTTCCACTTTAACGATTTATGATAATTTTCACACCTTCTGATACTTTTTAAGAGCAAAAATAATCTCCACCTATAGTTTGCAAAAAATGAGCAAAGCGAACTTTGATTCATAAATTATCTTAGTTCATGCAGGCTGTTCAAAGGCTCTATCAGCGTTCTTATCAGGATCACGCGAGGTAAATCAAGTTGCCGAACATTTCCGTGTTTAAACTGAGAAAAAATTCACCATTCTTAGGTTATGAGAACTACAATGTCTATGTTCTGACTGCTAAGCCTAAAAAGGTTCTACTGTAAGAATCGTTTGCAAACATTATATGTATCCTTGTATTCTCAACTAGTGCAACAGTTTTTTCTTCAGCTTCGTGTATTTCGTTCTGATTTACGCTCTATACAGCCGGAAAGACTGTAACGATATGAGAAAACACTATTTTTTGTTTCAAACAGATAGGCGGCTGGGAGGCGGGGTTTGACCTCGTTCAGGCTAGAGTGATCAGAGAGCATGCGACGCAGATGCGAAGCGGGTGCGAGCCCCTTCCAGCCGTCTATTCCATTGAATCAGAGGTTAAACTATTAGTTTTGAGTCCTTAACATCATGCTTTTACAGCTATGAAGCCGCTAATTCGGGTTCCACAAGTATTACTTTGTTTAACGGTGTGTAAGCTTTAATGTGTCACAAATAAGCGCAGCAAAACACCAGATATTGAAGCAATCTGTGCGAAATCACTACAAGAACATCCACTAGAAAGTCCAAGCCAGAATTTCAAGATTCATTGACATATAAATACGTACATGTTTGACCGGTAGAAGTACTTGACTGAAAAACCGACGAACACAATAAGGTGCCTAGTCGAAGCGATATGAATGTATCAACTTCTATTACACTGCAACTAAGTTCACTATCACCTTTCAAGGCAGAAGTGTCGAGAGACAAAGTTGTTTAACATGAACATGACATACACGGTGCCTTTACAGGCTGGTTAACAAAAAACTAATTAACACTAGATCTGCTGATTTTCTTCTATCATGAACACGTGTGAACAACTGGAAGTCTGCTCTAGATGGACAATTCGAATTTCACGTCAATTTGAGCTGCTCGAGCCAGGTTGACAATGTCCGATAGTTTCACAACCATTTTGGCGGCCTAAACAAACCGTTTTAGAGGTAAGAACTTCAAGGCAGATTTCCGATAGATAATCAATTGGGTCTAACAAAATGACACACATCTATCAAAACAAGCTCTCCGGAATCACGACAAAAAAACAAGATAGATGTTTAACTAGAAGTTTTTCGTTCAGCACGTAAAGAAGATAAGAAGGATGACAAATTTGTTTAGGGCAGATACATGTGAACATTCGATAGTGCAACATACCTCATCAAGGTTATCGCAGGGCAAAATCCTTAATTGTGAATTGGCAATGAGAGCCTTGGCATCATCTACCTTTGTTCCTGAAATAAAGGCAGAATAGTGCATACACATTCAGCAACTGCAATATCAAGATCTAAAGCATTCTGACACTACTTCATACCTTGCAGACGGACAACGATCGGGATTTTGAGATCAAGTTCCTTAGCAGCTTTGATGATTCCTTGAGCAATAACATCGCAACGCATAATTCCACCAAAAATGTTCACAAGAATGGCATTGACCTAGGACAACGTATAATCAGAAAGCATCCTTACCATGTGAACTAGCAACAACATACCTTCTTCTTGTCCGCCGTGATGATTTTGAAGGCCTCCGTGACCTGCTCGACAGTAGCACCACCTCCTACATCAAGGAAGTTTGCAGGATCACCGCCATGCAGTTTGATGATGTCCATAGTAGCCATAGCCAGACCAGCACCATTGACTGCAAATATTGATATAATTAAATCAGAGCTACATCCTTTTCTCACAAACATACCCAAACATCCGATATTTCCGTCCAGGCGAATGTAGTTGAGGTTGGCAGCTGCAGCACGAATCTAAAAGTAATAAAGGACACTAATATTCACAATTATGACTCCACAAAAATGTTGAAAAGGCCATTATAATGCGCAGTGATAGCGAAAACCGTAAGCTTTACCTCAAGGGGATCTTCCTGTTTTGTGTCTTTCATGGCAAATAGATCTTTTTGACGGAACTCAGCGTTTGAGTCCAAAAGCAATTTGCAATCCATGCAGTAGACTAAATGTTGACAATAATGAAAGCAAAGCTGAACCATGAATAATCAAAAACAGCATTACATACCATCGCCGTTAACATCCTCAGCCATAGGATTGATTTCCAGAAGGGTAGCATCAGACTTTCGGAAGAGATTATAGAGCTTAGCAATCATGTCAGAAGCCTGTTTGGCAGAGTCTCCCTAGACTTGCATTTATTGTTTTGTAATTTTTATGCTTGTAGAGGAATGGAGTAAAGGGAGATCTTTTTTCACTGTATTACATGAAATTCACCTTGAATCCCATCTTCGCCGCAATATCCGAGGCAATCTGAGGAGTTATTCCAGTGGACATATCAATCGGCACCTTCACAATAGCTTCTGGTTCAGTAGCCGCTACTTCCTCAATGTTGACACCACCACGGCTTGATCCGATAATGATAGGACCCTTGAAATGTAATTTATAAGGTAAGGTAAGCCTTGAGTAATGCTCTTACATTTGTGTTTCGGTCAAGCATGATGGAGAAGTAATACTCGCGTCGGGTAAATAGTCGTTTGCACACCATGACCTGTAAATTATTACC